CACTGCAAAAGTTGCTTCTTATTGTAAGGTATTTTTGTATTACAAGGAAGAGACTTGCAAAGTGATTATATGTTTAGTTGCTGAGTCGTGTCCGACTCTTTTGCGACCCCATGGACTGTAGCCTGCCAGGCTCCTCTCCATGGGATTTCCCAGGCAAGAATACTCGAGTGGGTTGTCATTTCCTTCTCCAGGGGATCTTCCCCACCCAGGGACTGAACCCCGGTCTCCTCTGCTTCCTGCACTGCAGGTGGACTACTATTCCCGTGGTTTAACGTACTTCTTAACAACTTTGGTTCAGGGGCGGAAGGAAGAGGCAGCAGCTACAACATGTTTTGAATATGTTCACATACTTATTTTGTTGAAGGTATTCTATGAGTTACATAGTTTTACTCACTGACCCAGAAAGAGTGAAAAAGTTGAAAGAGCTGGGTGTGGTGGTAGATGTGAAGTAATTACTGACTCCTTACCATGTGTGCCTTTAATTTAACACCTCTCGCACCTCGATAAACACTAGATATGTTTTATTTTGGAAAACATCTGTCAGCAATAATGATTACTATTTCAAAGCAATTTGAACATTTGGGGAAATCATTATATAGGAAAAAAGTTACTTGTGTTTTCTGCACAGATCTGAAGGCAAATATAGGGAGGAGTGTTTATTTATGGATGAATTAACTTGTCTAAGAACATGTTGTCCATCTTGTAAATTGCTTCATTTTTCAGAAATAAATGTTCAGGGTTTTGTTTTGTGATATAACAGTTTCAGCTGTACAGTGTATTGACTTGATATTTGCATATATTGCAAAATAATCACACAATAAGTCCAGTTAACATCTGTCATTATAGACATAGTTACATTGTTGGGTTTTTCTTTTTTTTTCTGTGCTGAAAACTTGATTTCAAGAGCTGCTCTCCCAGCTACATTCATATATGAAATACAGTATTATTAGTTTATAGTCACCATGTTGTACATTATACATCCCCATGACTTACCCATTTTATAACTGGAAATTTGAAGAAAGTTACAGATTTAAAGTCCTTTTTAGATGTCAAGACTATGGGTTGATTCAAGATTATGGTGTGGAGTTCGATACACAGATCTGAGACTTAACTGAGAGGTTGGGACCAGGAGACCCAAGGATAGACTTAGGTTAGTACAGAAAGCTAACAGTAGCCAGAAAACTGGGTGACTGGGAGGAGTCTAACCTGTGTGTTGCCTGTACTTAGACATTCCTCTCTATCTGGGCCTCTTGGGGCTTCCCTTGAAGAAGGGTTGGAACTCCTAGAGCAAACATGAGGGTTGTTGGGGCCCACAGGCTTAGTTCTCCCAGAGGAAGAATCTGTATCTTCGTCAGAAGAACCTCAAGAGATCTCTGCTACTTTATGGGTACTTGATTGTAGCCTTGAAGTAGCAGAGATTTGTGGACACAGGGAAAGTTAGCTCTTACACCATCTAACTGTTTTTGTTGAGGTTTAATGGAAAGGGCCTAGGATCTGAAATCATAAAGTCTGAGTTCCAGTCTCAGCCCTGACTAAGGCGGACCATACCTGAAGTCACTTAATCTCTCTGGGATTCAGTTTTTTCCTCTTCATCTGTAAAAAAGGAAATTTCAACTCAAATAAGTCTCCAGCTCTCAAATACTGCATTAAAAGTTAGATGTTATCATTTTAAATCTTCAACTCCATTGTAAATACTGATGCAAACTTAGGCATTGAAATCACGCGGCATTTCTTGGTTTCAAGGCAGTTAGGTGTGTAAGTTGTTGCTATTCAGTCGCTCAGTCCTGTCTGATTCTTTGTGATCAGGCTTCTCTGTCCTTCACTGTTTCCTGGAGTTTGCTCGAATTCATGTCCATTGAGTTGGTGATGCTATCTAACCATCTCATCTTCTGCTGCCCTCTTTGCCTTTTGCCTTCAATCTTTCCCAGCATCAGGGTCTTTTCCAATAAGTTGGCTCTTCATAACAGGAGGCCAAAGTATTGGAGTTTCAGCTTCAGCATCAGTCCTTCCAATGAATACTCAGGGTTGATTTCCTTTAGGATTGTCTGGTTTGATTCCCCCATTGACTGGTTTGAACTACATGCTCAGTATAAAAAGGTACATAAGTGCTTTACATTATTTTTGTAGTATCTTGAAAACAAAAGCAGTATTAAAATTCTCTTATATAGAAAGCAGTTGTGGCAAAAAGACCAATACTTGATGAATCTAACCATAGTAATAATAAAATGTTGGATAAAGTAAATGTTTATTAGTAAAGAGTGCCTGAGATTCTTAAGTTCTTTTGTTTAGTTAATAGAGACTTGTCTCCTTTTGCAAAAATTTCATACTTTTGTGAGATTTTCGTTCTCAGTGTAGAAAAATTACTTGTAAAGAAAGAGTGGTGAGTTTCTTTTTTTTTAAATGAGTTTTCTTACATTGTAATCTACTAATATTGGGACTTATTCTCCCTGTCAGATGTAAATTTGATGCAGTTACTTTGGGCTGGTGATGGTGGTGCTTGATATTTCTTTTCCTGGATGATTGCATGATTGACAAAGCTGGCACCTCAGGTTTCATCCTGCTATCAATGACTGATCCTGTTTCCTCCTACCACGTGGTACCTTCATTGCTTTATGTTGTGTTTTTGATGATAGACATCCTAACATGTATGAGGTGATAACTCATTGTGGTTTTGATTTGCATTTCCCTGTTGATTAATGATGTCAAGCATTTTTTTCAAGTGTTTGTGGGCCATATTTATGTCTCTTTTGGAAAAATGTCTATTCAGGTTCCTTTGCCCATGTTTTCTTCTTTGTTTTGGCCATACTGCAGCTTGCAGGATCTTAGTTCCTGGACCAGGGATTGAACCCAGTCTCCCACAGTGAAAGCACTGAGTTCTAACCACTGAACTACTAGAGAATTCCCTTGTTGCCCATTTTTGAAGTAGACTATCGATTTTTTTTTTTTGGCTATTGTATGAATTTCTTATATGTTTTGGATATTAACCCCTTATTGGAAGGTATATATGCAAGTCTTTTGTCCCATTCTCTAGATCGCCCTTTCATTCTGTTTGTTGGTGGTTTGCTGATGGTGCAAAAGCTTTTTAGTTTGTTGTAGCTCTACTTACTGATTTTTGCTTTTGATGTCAAGTTCAAAAAATTCATTTGTGACGAACAATGTCAAGGAGCTTAGCCCTGTGTTTTCTTCTAGGAGTTTTAATGGTTTCAGATCTTCTGTTCAACTCCCGTTTTGAGTTGATTTCTGTGTATGATGTAAGACAGTGGTCTCATTTCATTCTTTGCATGTCCACTTTTCCCAACACCATTTATTAAAGAGACTATCCTTTTCCCATTGTATATTCTTGACTCCTCTGTAGCATATATGTGTGGGTTTTATTTCTGGATTCTGTCTCATTGATCTATGCCTTGATACACCTGCTATACATACTGTAGCTTTGTAACATAGTTTGAAGTAAGGAAGCATGGTGCCTTCAGCCTTCAGCTTTATTCTTTCTAAAGATTTCTTGGCTACTTGGGGTCTTTTCTGGTTTTATACAAATACTAGAATTGTTTGTTCTATTTCTGTGAAAAATGTCATTGCAGTTTTGTTAGGCATCGCATTAAATCTATAAACTGCTTTGTAGAAAGTATGGACATTTTAACAATATAAATTTTTCTGATCCATGGACATGAAACGTTTTCATTTATTCGTGTCTTCAGTTTCTTTAATCAGTGTCTTACTAGTAAGTTTTCAATGTACCTTTTTCCCCTGTATATACATTCTGGTGGCATATCTTCCTTTTCTTCCTGGAGCAACATATAGATTCACAGTTTAGTTATTCAGAGATTTTAATGGAGATGATTGGATGCTGTTGACTTGATTTCTGGAGTAATGACATGGATTACTGTCTTTGCTAAAAAGTATCTTCTCAGTCTGTTTTTATTTGTAAAGTAGAGACTTAGGATCTAAGAAATTTTAAAGTTTCTTCTATTGTGATTGAGCAGGCATGTTTGCCCAGTTAAGGATAGAATGGGAATAAGAAACAATATGTCGTGTCTAATGCCTTAGTATTTTTTTAAGATTCCTGTGCCCAGATTTTTTTTTAAATTATATTTATTTATTATTGGCTTCACTGGGTCTTCATTTCTGTGCACATGCTTTCTCTAGTTACGGCAAGGGAGGACTGCTTTTCATTGCTGTTGATGGGCTTCTCGTTGTGGTAGCTTCTCGTTGCAGGGCGTGGGCCCTAGAGCGAGGCTTCCATGGTTGTGGCGCAGGGACTTATTTGCTCTGTGGTCCGTGGAATCTTCCTGGACTAAGGATGACCCACGTCCCCGGCATTGGCAGGTGGATTCTTAACCACTGGACCACCGGCAAAGTCCCCTGTGTCCAGATTTTGAATGTCTCTAATTCAGATAAATGAGTTTTTTCATTTCATTGTTTATACAGTTGTTGATAAACAAAAAAATGGTATTTGAAAGTTGAGAATATGGTGACTTCTGTAAATAGGCATTTGCTTCTTCCAATAATAACCCACATCTATAAAGTTTAGTGTTCTAATAGGAGGACTTACTTGAAGGTAAGATAACTCATTTGTGAGAAAAGTCCATTTATACACCATCAGTCATTACTAATATATGACTGTTTTGAGAAAGATTTTTAATCTTGGTAATAATTTTTAGGTTTTGTATAACTATAAAATGCTGTTTAGTCGGTAAGTCACATCTGACTCTTTTGTGATCCCATGGACTATATAGCCTGCCAGGCTCCTCTGTCCATGGGGTTTTCCAGGCAAGAATACTGGAGTGGGTTGCCGTTTCCTTCTCCAGGGGATCTTCCTGACTCAGGGATCGAATCTGTCTCTCCTGCATTGGCAGGCAGTTTTTTTATTTTTACCACTGAGTCACCAAGGAAGTCCCATAACGACAAAATAAATCTAGCCATATTCTAACCACTTAACGAAGACCCTTTCATTTTTCCGCAGTGTCTCCTGAGGCTACAGGCGGGTGTTTGAGGAGTACATGCGGGTTATCAGCCAGCGGTACCCTGACATCCGCATAGAGGGGGAGAGCTACCTCCCCCAGCCAGTGTACAGGTGAGTGAGTGCGGCCTTCCCTGACATCCGCATAGAGGGGAGAGCTACCTCCCCCAGCCAGTGTACAGGTGAGTGAGTGCGGCCTTCCCTGACATCCGCATAGAGGGGAGAGCTACCTCCCGCAGCCAGTGTACAGGTGAGTGAGTGCGGCCTTCCCTGACATCCGCATAGAGGGGAGAGCTACCTCCCCCAGCCAGTGTACAGGTGAGTGAGTGCGGGCTTCTTAAGGGATTCTTAAGTGAACTGTTTTCTCATTTGTCAAGAAACTTTTGTGAATTGGTTGAATTTTAACTTTCCTTGGTTATTGTAATTTCTTAGTTGGTTATACTTTGCAGAGAACAGTTTTGTAAATAGCAAGTTTATTTGAGCCAAATACCAAAGAATTTTTCTGTAAGAAGGAAAAGAGGAAAATCATTTCAGAGATGGCAATCCTTCTAAAGATGTGTTTTCTTAATTTATATTGTGGCAATAAATCAAGTCAATGGTACAAAATTGTGTACTGTTACAATAATAGTATCTTTAGAGACCAGTGCTATAATTTTAGAAATTAATTTTTGATTGATTCAGAGATCTTAAACTTTTTTGTTTTATGCTGCACAATAAAATTTAGTTATGGGTGTTTCGGATGGACAGGTACACACTGCTATATTTAAAATGGATAAACAACAAGGACTTACTCAAGAAAAAATTCGTTACTAGCTTTTTCCTGGTATAGTTAGCAATTTTTAGATCTAGTGTTTAAGAAATGTCTATACACATAGACTTGAGCTACGAAATTTTGAAATAGATGAGCAGCTTCTGATTAGTTTACTTCTTCTCTTTTGATAGACACATAGCATCGTTCCTGTCGGTCTTCAAGCTCGTGCTAATAGGCTTAATAATTGTTGGCAAGGACCCTTTCGCTTTCTTTGGCATGCAGGCTCCTAGCATCTGGCAGTGGGGCCAAGAAAATAAGGTATGTAATATAATGGGCTTGATACCTGTAGGTTTTTCGGTTGTCAGTGAAGTAGTCTAGTGGGTTTTTCTTTTTTTAAGTACTTTCTGCCATTTACATGTGCTATTTCAACGTAAAGCAGTTTTTCTTTTTTTCCCTCTTGGCAAAGCACTTAACTTCCTTTGGCCTTAGTCTCCATATTTATATATTAAGAATGATTAGGTCTTATGTTTTATTGTTTGAAAGATAGAGAAGGGTTACTTTAGTAGAACCTGGGCACAGAATAATTTCATACTTGATTTTGATTGTGTAACTTGGGCCAAGTCATAGAGCAGAACAATGGATACATAATGTAAGCCTTTTATACGAAGTATTGAGTATTCATAGGTTTATACACATTAAAAATGAGATTTCCACCAATTTACTCTTATCCAACTCTCTGTTTTTATTATTTGTTCTTTGACATTTCTGTTCATGAGGTATCTAAAGCAAATTAACTGGAAAAAATCAGTATAAATATACGTAAGGATCTTGTGCTATTTTTTTTCTTTGTAGGGTCTTGGTGGAGCATACTGTTTTCTGGAGCTCTCATCTGTTTTACTTAAAATCATTTTTTCTGCAGGGTCTACCTTTCTTCTGTGAGAAATAAGACTAATTTTTCTTTCTCTCTTGAATGATATTGCTTAGATTTCCTTCTAAGCATTACTGTCTTTTGGAGTCCTCTGTCTTATCCATTAGTTCTATGCTGAGACAGCCTTTAGCCAGCTCATAACAAAGCTGTTCTTTTTCTTACGGAATCAGTTAATTTCCAGTAGCAGGCAAGACTTCTTAACATAAACATCCTCAGGTGCTACTTCTAATTGAGATGTGTATCTGCTCTTATTAACAAAGTGTCGATTTACATAGGATTAAGAGTACTTATGACAATGTTTTGTGCTATGTTTGTTAATTCTGTTGATTCCACATTATCTTTAGTGCAGTTTACTCATATAGACTTAAAACGTCATTGATCTGCTGTGGAAGAGGGTACCTGCAAGCTGTAGCTTTCCTGACACTTCCTTGGGTATTGTTCTCCTGAAAGCAGACTTTGTCCCTAAATGCTGGGATAACTCCTCTGGAATCAGAGCCCACCTAGCTCAAGTGGGACTAGGGGAAAGCATCTTCTCATCCGCTGTAGGCATTCTAATCTATGTTTCTGAAGCAGCTGGCTGTGAGCTGACACCCTTACTGCCTCCTGCTTTCAGCTGGGCGACTTTGTTAAGTTAAGACCTCTCTGCCCAGCAGGAGCTCTCCCTTTCTTGGCAGGGTGCGGGTCTGCCTTCAGAGAGTGAATGAATGAAACTCAATGCCAGTGCTCTCTGACCTACTTTTCTCCAGTTTGACTTTACATGGCTTGTTTGGAACATGGACAGGTTGTATTGAATACATGGGATTGCTGATGATTGCATCACTAGTCCCTTGGGAATTCATACATTAGATCATAAAAAAGCTAAAATGAATCCATCTTAAGCTGGTATTCTTTTTTTTTTTCATTTATTTTTATTAGTTGGAGGCTAATTACTTTACAATATTGTAGTGGTTTTTGCCATACACTGACATGAATCAGCCATGGATTTACCTGTGTTCCCCATCCTGATCCCCCCTTCCACCTCCCTCTTCATCCCATCCCTCTGGGTCTTCCCAGTGCACCAGCCCCGAGCACTTGTCTCATGCATCCAACCTGGGATGGCAATCTCTTTCACACTTGGTAATATACATGTTTCAATGCTATTCTCTCAGATCATCCCACCCTCGCCTTCTCCCAGAGTCCACAAGTCTGTTCTATACATCTGTGTCTCTTTTTCTGTTTTGCATATAGGGTTATCGTTACCATCATTCTAAATTCCATATATATGTGTTAGTTTACTGTAATGGTCTTTATCTTTCTGGCTTACTTCACTCTGTATAATGGGCTCCAGTTTCATCCATCTCATTAGAACTGATTCAAATGAATTCTTTTTAATGGCTGAGTAATATTCCATGGTGTATATGTACTACAGCTTCCTTATCCATTCGTCTGCTGATGGGCACCTAGGTTGCTTCCATGTCCTGGCTATTATGAACAGTGCTGCGATGAACATTGGGGTGCACATGTCTCTTTCAGATCTGGTTTCCTCTGTGTGTATGCCCCGAAGTGGGATTGCTGGGTCATTTGGCAGTTCTATTTCCAGTTTTTTAAGGAATCTCCACACTGTTCTCCATAGTGGCTGTACTATCTTTTGTTTAACTTACTAAGGCTTTATGAGATTTTTAGAATTTTTTTTTTTTTTTCCAATTTTTTGGCCACATGTGGAATCTTAGTTCCCCAGCCAGGGATCAAACCTATGCCCCCTGAAGTGGGAGTGTGGAGTCTTAACCACTGGACCACCAAGGAAGTCCCTCAAAATTTTATCTTTACATTATGAATAACATATAAATTCTTCAGAATGTATAGAGCTGTGAATTAGTGTTGCAGTTTTCTGTGTACTGCATATATGAATATATGGAAAGGGAGTAATTGTATATAATCTTCAGGTAGATTTAAAAAGAACAGTTACCAAATAAAAATGAGACTGTATTTAAAAGATTACTTGTCATGTTGTTTTGATTTGAGACTGACTTAACCTATTGTATTTTATTGTATTTTCCTTTAGGTCTATGCATGTATGATGGTATTCTTCTTGAGTAACATGATTGAGAACCAGTGTATGTCAACAGGTGCATTTGAGATAACTTTGAATGGTAGGTTCTGAATAGTTTGCATTTTGTAGTAAATTTTAAATGATTTATGCTGAGCATCAGGCTTTTCTGTCTTTCATAATATGCTAAATTATACCCTTGTATGGTCCTCAGCCACTCCCATGGCTTTAGAATAGCGTCTGTGTGATGACCCTTGAATGTGTAGTCTGGAGAGTTCTAGACCTCTCTCCTATGTTCTGTGTGTAGCCAGGAACCCTGAACATTGCCTGCTCCCAAACGGTTGGTTACCTCTGCTTCCTGCAGTTCTGTTACACTCCATCTGCTGCTTTCCTGGCATTTCTCACTTATTTAATGGCACCATTATCATTCTACCCAGTTGCTCACGTCAGAAACCTAGGATAACATCACTTACTCTCCATATCTAATGGATTACCAATTTTTCTCGATTCTACTTTTTACAACTTTCAAAGATCAGCTTCTGTTTATCTTCATTGCTAACCACCCTAATCCAAGCCACAATTATCTTGTTGCCCTTTAACATATTGTCTGAACCAGAGGTTGGCAAGTATAGTATGGCCTATGAGCTAACAGTGGCTTTGATAGTTTTAAAATTTATTTACTTATTTATTTTTATTAAAAATTTTTTTTATTGACATTGATTTATAATGTCACATAGTTTTCAAATATACAGCACAGTGATTCCTATATATATACTTTTTTGGATTATTTTCCCTTCTGAGTTATTAATATTGAGTACATTTTCCTGTGCTATATAGTAAATCCTTATTTTTTTATTTTATGGGAAGCAATATATATATGTTAATCCCAGCCTCCTAGTTTATCCTTCTGCCTAACCCCTTACCTCTTTGGTGGCCATAAGTTTGTTTTCCGTGTCTGTGAGTCTTTCTGTTTTGTGAATAAGCTTCTTTGTGTCTTTTTCTTTAAGATCACACGTATCAGTGATGCCATATGGTACTTGTCTTTCTCTGTCTGGCCTGCTTCGCTGAGTGTGATAATCTCTGGGTCCATCCACTGTTGCTAGGTGGCACTTGGGTTTTGTTGGGTTTTTTTTTTGGCTGTGCAGTGTGATTTGCAGGGTCTTAGTTCCCCGACCCAGGATTGAACCCAGGCCCTTGCAGTGAAAATGCTAAGTCCTAACCACTGTACAACTAGAGAACTCTCTTTTTACATTTTTTAATGGATAAACAATCAAAAGAATATTTTGTGACATGGACATTATATGAAATTCAAATTTTAGTACTCATACCTAGAGTTTTGTGTTTCATCAATGGAAAATTTGTGGAAGTACCTATATAATATCCTTGATTTTGCCTCTTGGTTTGTAAAGTCTAAAATATTTACTGTCTGGCTTTATACATAAAAAATTTGCTGACACCTGCTCCAAACAGTTATTTAAAAGATTTTTTTAAATGCACCTTTCATCTTGTTGCTTCACTGCCTCAAATTTATTAAACGGCTTTATTTTGTTCTCAAGATAAAGACCAGAACATTTAACCTGGACAGAAGGCCCTGCATGATGTGGTGTAGGCATGGACAAACCATGGCCCTGTGTACCATATCTTCTGCTTCCTGCTTTGTAAATAAAGTTTTATTAGAACACAGCCATGCCCATTCATTTATCTGTTGCCTGTTACTCCTTTTGGACTATAATGGATCTTAAGTAGCTGGGACAGACTGTATATCTTCTTGAACTAAACATGCTTTTTCTCTGACTCTTCATAGTTTTTTGATCCCTGATCTGATCCCTGCTTACCTCTTCAGCCTCCTTTGTACCATTCTTCTGTAATTTAGCTTTTATGTTTAACAATAATATCTCTCAATTTTAATAATATCTGTTTTAATAATAGTAAGTACAAAGGCTCCTCCCCAGCCTCATATGCCCTCTCGTAGCATCTTCTCATTTTAATTTTTAGTGTACAAAGGTGATTTTGTAGCTGTTGTATAGTTCTTTTTCTGCTTCCTCTACTAGAATGTAAACTCCATAAAAGCAGAAAGCTTAATTCTGTGTCCAGCTGTGTGCGTACAGTACAGTACATATTTGTAGAATGAATGTCTATTATAGAATCATCTTTAATTTGGAGAGGACGGTACCATTTATTTTTGTAGATGTACCTGTGTGGTCTAAGTTGGAATCTGGTCACCTTCCATCCATGCAACAGCTTGTTCAAATTCTTGACAATGAAATGAAGCTCAATGTGCATATGGATTCAATCCCACACCATCGATCATAGCCCCAACTATCAGCACTGAAAACTCTTTTGTAAGTAGTTTAAAAATGCAGTAACTATAGGTATCAGTTAATTCTCATGAATCAGTAAGATATTACATATATATTAGTATGCTAGGTATACATATATAATAACAGGTGTTACATTTATTGTCAGTTGAGTTTCCAACTTAAGATTTAACAAATGAATGTCTTTTTCATTAAAATTTATAAGTGTCCAAGAGAGTTTGGACCATAAAGTAAGGTTGTGCTATTAGTTTTATGCTTAAGGCTTAATAATTGGGCCTGTAAGGCTTAATAATTGGGCCTGTAGTAGCATTTTTTTGACTGTGAACTCCTGATGACTAGAATTCATATACTATACCTGTATTGTACATATAAACCCTCTTTTTACCTTCAAATAACTAGTTCTTAAAACTATGCAATTTCTTTTTACATGCTCATGATAGGAAATTTATAAGCAAATGTGCATGAACATGGAGGGGTGAAAGTTAATTATGTTTAGCAGAGGTGTTCTCAGTTATTTGCTGATCAGCAGGTTAATTTTATGAGTGAATTTTTAAAATAAAATGCTTTTTTTTTCCTTTGTCTCTTTCAGACATTAAGGGATTTTTGAAGAGCAGCGTGACTGACATTATGAAGGCCTGTACTGAAGACAGCAAGCTGTTAGTGCAGGCCAGATGCTTTCTTGGCAGGCTCGTTGTACCTCTTGGAAAACCTCAATGCAAGGGAGTTTTTCAGTGCTGGCACATTTTGGAATTCTGCACATTCGTGGAGTGCAATAATACTGTATAGCTTTTTTTCTTCCCCAGATCCAGTCAGTTAATAGTTTTAAAAAAAGCAGACATGCTCCTTGTACTTTTTTTTTCTTGGTCATATTTTCAAAAGTAGAAAATTGAGTTACAATTTTATTGTTTTTCAAAGATGTCTGTCAAATCTGTTGTGATTTTATATGAATTTTCCTTTTTTATAGTTTAAAATTCATCTTTTGGAGACTAGAGCTGAAGTTCCCAAATACTTTATAAGAGTTTATCAGACATCTCTAATTTGGTTGTGTCCAATTTATATAGTTTTCAAAATACTGCAGATTGTGAACAGCATATTATATAAGATTATGGGGGGGAAATCCTATATCCAGAGTACTCTACCAGTTGTGTATGTGTATGTGTGTGTGCGCGTGTGTGATTACCAGAGAACTACTAAAAGACCAACCTCTTTTTAAATCCTGTTATGTAGTTCAAGTGTCCTGCCTTGACCAATTTAATGAGTTGATTAACTGGGCCTTTATACTTAACTCAATAAAAAACTAAACAGATATAAGTTAAATAAAAAGTTCAAGTTTATTGCCCAGCGTACCTATTAACATTATATGTAATAGTTGTCTACCTAAATTTGTGTTCTTTGACTCACTGACAGTTTCCTAGGGGACACACTTTAGATTCACACGTAAGTAATAAGTCACTCACCATTTTAAGGATAATTGAAACTTGCTTCACTTTTAAGAAAGTTTAGTTAAACCTCTTCACAACATTAATGTTAGGTACATGGAGATCACTTGTCTAATAATTTAACTTGTGTGACATCATATATCAGAATTTTATTATACTTGAGGAACAAAATTGAAGTTTTTTATTTGGTGAATTGAATGTCTTTCCAGAGTTCTAAAAAGGTAGTTTTTTTTTTAATTAAATTGATAAAGATGATAATTTCGCAGAAGTAGGACCATAAAGTAGAAAAGTAGTCAAATATCAACAGTCATAACATACTTCAGCTTCCGTGAGGAATAGAAGTGATAGGTCCGATTTTGTTAGTGGAAGAAAAGGGATTTATGGAAAAGTTATGAGATGTTTCAATATTGAGTCCACCAAACACTTTGCACAACATTATACTTCATTTGTCAGTGAATATTTGTTGAAATGCATGTCTGGTTATCATCATGACTGTGACATCCTCGAGGTAGAATGCACTGTAGTCCCTAGCTGAACGGAGGTTAGCCTGATACTTCATGACAGAAAATTGATTAAATGCCTTATCCTTTTAATTAAGGCTGCAGAACTGTTAACCTAAGATCACACTGTGGCAACAGTCAATACAGTTTAAGCCGGAGGTTACTTGTAGGTTATTACTCAGGTGTAATAACATTTCGCTGTCTTTGACTAGGGTTTAAAGGCCTGTTAACTTCATTTGTACCAGCCCAGACCTCTTCCCTCTTACAAGTTGAACACACTGTTGAGTGTGTGTAGGGTCTTTCTTCAGCATCAGACATTCCACTAGTGGTGGTTAGCCTTTTTTCATTTAGAACTTCCAAACTTGAATCTGTCTAGTCCCATGTGTCTGACAGGCCAGCCATGAAGAAGTTAAGATTTAATTCTAACTTTTTCCACCTTTGCCTTGGGTGAATGGCTCGTCTTTTGGAGAGTACCTTTAAGTGACTTGGTCACTGATAAAACTTAACTATTTTGTTGGCACCCATTTCAATATTTATGTTTGGCCATATTTAAATTTAAAATTTAATAGAGTCTAGTGAAAAAATTAGTGGAATGTGTGAATATAAAAAAATACAAAAAAGAGAAAGCTATTTAAACTGTGGCTTTATTATATTCCTAACATTTCAAAATTTATTACATAGTTGCTTATAAATTGCTGTGGCTGTATAGTTTATAAGTGTTTATGTACTGTGTTAATTAGAAGACCATAGAACGTGACATCAGTTTGGTTAATGTTATTCCGTAGTTGCTGTTGTGGAAGAGATTATATATTAGATTAATAAAAAAAAATGTTGGTAAAACCTGGCTTTATACCTCAGCAACAAAATGTACAAAAACCATAGGCTTTCGGGATATATGTGCATTATTAACTCATGGCACTGAGATTAATGATAGCAGTTGATCAAACATGACTATCAAAATATAACAGGATCCTAATGATGATTCTTATTTTGACTTTTATTAGTTTGAGACTTTGGTTGGTTAGCATTTTATCATTGTCATAATTTTAATTAATTTTGATTTTCAAAAACAGCCTACAGAACCTTAAAGCATGATTTGATATTTAATACTAAGACTTAAAATCTCTTTTGAGAGAAACATGAGGAATTGTAAAGTTCGGGGGCTTCCCTCTATAGCATTGTGAGAATAAACTTTTATTAAGCTGATGTGAAAGGAATCCCTCCTTTCTGAAGCTGAATCTGTGCTAGAACACTTGATAACTGTATTTAGGAAATTTACATTGTAAAAGTTGTTATCAAATAATGTTTTCTAATGGCTTCCTTACCCCACCAGTGCTGACACGCCCTGTTCCCCACCTAGCACCCCCAGCCCCAGCTTGGCACTCCAGTCTTAACTACTCTTGGGCCTTAACCTGCTTCCTGAACCTTATGGTCCAGCTGTGTGTACTTCATTGTTCCTTTTATCAGCTCTGTGGCATGTTCTCTGCTGGGGTGGAGCAAAAAGGAGCAGTTTAGATTATTGTCCTTCACCCCTGACCTCCAAAACCCCGGTGAAAGTCATGCTAACATCCCCAAATCTGGAGAGAAATAAAATGAGAGTTTCTCTCTTGACTGATAACACACCATGTAACCATTTAACCATTTCTCTCAGAAGAGAAAGCAAAGTTATTATTTTCCTTAAATCCAGCTGAGCCATTTCCTTCAAAGTCCCTGGCTCCTTTCTTCTAGGCTTAAAAACCTATAGAAGCAGACCCAGATCTGAACTGAAGAAAAATAGAAATTGGTCTCAGGCCCAGTGGGGAGAGTGTTAAATCACCCATCCTCTGTCAAGGCTTGTAGCCTGTCTTCTGTTGCCTTTGGTAAGCAGGAACAGAATAAAAGGAAACATGATATCCAGGCAAGCGTGTAACAGCAGCGGTTTTAAACCTTGAGAGAATAATTAAGGCAAATTCCTGGACCCTGTCCCTAGAGATGCTGACTGATTGGCTCTGAGAGGGGTTCCAGTAATTTGTGCTGTAGCGCAGCTTCCAGATAATGCGGGCGCTGTCAGCCCGAGGTCCACACTGAGAAACACAGGACCAGAGGGCCCGGGGGTCAGCGTGCAGAGAGCTCAGGACAGATGCCACTGTGGAACGGAAGAAGGTTTTCCACAGTCGCTTCACATGTGTAAAATGACTTACTAAGAACAAGACAGTCAGTAAAATGAGAACCTCAAAGAAGAAACAGAATGAGATGAGATTGTTTTAAAGAAAATAAATTGAGGGTTTAATTGTCCCAATTAATCTGTTTTATCAATTCAGTGTGTGTTATCCTTTGGGTTAATATATTAAGAGTTTTGGGGGGGTGGGTATTTTAAAAGGAAATGTTAAATCTTTGAGTATAAAATAACTCATTTGAAATGCCAGATTTTCTCAAGGCAGAGTATTTAAATTTTTACCATTCTGAGTAGACCAAATGTATACTTTTCATTTTATTGTAGTAACCACAGTAGAATTCTTAAATCACTAAGGAAACCCACTCTAAACTTAAGCCCCCCAAAAGAAAAAGATTACCTTTCATGTAATAGAAAAATCCGTGTAAAGTTGGTCTCATTTTCTATGAGCCTCTACTGTAACTGGGGAGAAGATTTTGTGGGGGCCTGGGAGAATGGGAGAGGAATAAGAAATGTTGATAAAGTCTCATCACTTCATTGAAACTTGAGTTATATTCTTTGGATTCTGTTTCTCAATACCCACTCTAATAATTCTGGCATGTTAAGTCTACTTTTCTCTAATTTTTGACTTTATTCCCTGCACACAACCTCCTTCCTATTCAGGATCGTAACTGTGTAAGACAAGTTTATGGCTTTGTGGTTATAAGCTGCTGAGATCAAGATCTTAGGTACCTAGGAATTATCTGGAATGGATGGAGCCAGTGTTGGGTCGCTTGGCTTGGCTAGTGAAGTGTTAGAACCTGGCTGGCAGGTTGCTGCCAGTATTCCCTGGGGCCACTGGCTATGCTCATTTACTCTGTGTACTAGCAACTCTTACTAGAGAAAAAAACAATTACCGCTCTTG